CGTATGAACTGCACGGAATTTTCATACGTAAAAATCAGAGCTGTTGGGTTTCGCTCTACGTGATTTCTCCACGACTGCTAAACATGCGTTGTTGCTTTGGAGACGCGTTGGCTGCATGCGCCCACCGTATGCACCATGAACCGAAACCGCGTTTTCCATGATATTATGCACGTGGTGTACGGTGTGTGTACCTTGTGAAGTTAGTTGTGTTTTGCGCGGCTTGAATGTTGCCGGCATGCCATGGACAAATGCGGAAAATGCGAAAAAATATTTCAAAAAGTCCTACGGAGGACCCAACGTAGGAAAGAGCTTTCCTACGGAAATCCGTAGAGAGATTTACGTATGAAAGTTGCCCTCGCTCCCCGGCGCGTACGACATACGGATTTTCATACGTAATTACGTAGAGCGAAACCTCCCTATTATGTATGTCGACGGTGACATTGCATGCCTCAGGGGCGTCGGAAGGTCTTCTTCATTGACGCGACTATGAAAAGCCTGGCATCCCGGGGACCTCCCCCAGGAAAAGTTAAGAAAATTGGGCCCGAATAGCCCATATTTCATTGCTTCAAGAATCACAAGATAAAATTATTGGTGCGTTTTTGACCGCACCGGTTGCGACGCCCCCTATAGCCTAGGCCCTGTGCCTGTACTGTAGGTATTTCCACGGGGAATGCCTTTTTTGTCCAAGGTCACCTTGGATTGGAAGCTTGCCAGGGCCAGTTTTACAGAGTGTGATGATGGTCTTGGGCCGAGGAGCTGCAATGTATCATTAGTTCCCAGCTGAACTCGCCGCAAAACTCTGCATCCTACTAATGATGTCGCTGTATACAGCAGCCAACAAGCCATAAATACGGGCATACATCTTTGAATACGAAACGGCCAGTTTAATTTGTAGCCTGTTTGATCGAGGAATGAAATTCCGAATAATGCATTCATGGCCTTCAGGCATCAGACTAAAGCAGCCATCGGACCAAGACAGCCTTCGGACCAAGAACACTTTCGGGCCAAGACAGTTTGTCTCACAGTGCCCACACGATAGTATGTTCTGACGCGTTGGGGCCAGAGTAGGTGGCGATATTATAGCTGTTATTTCAACCTGATAGTGTCGACATGTATGCTGTGTATGTGCAGACTGGGAGATATGGAGCAGTATTACCAAAAGTAGGGGATAACTGAAACTCCGGAAGGCTTAGCAATATTGACCCTGAGTGGAGTAGTCCTGGTCGGAAGAGGCAGCGTCAACAAACGTTTTTATGCCTAGCTGGCTGGGATCGGTAACATAGTCTGTAGGGTGCGGAGTTGTACGGTACGAGTTCGATTGGGGATATTGAATGAATGCTCTACCGCAGCCTCCTCAAACTAACACCAACTCGGGCTGTCGGACTCTGAAAAATGTGCCCCAGTCATGTTTTTATTGAACTTGTTGGCTACTGCTCTTCTTCACCAATCTCAGAAGAATTCCCAGTACCAACTCTTCCTTTTTTTGTCATGGTGAAGTATTGTTTTCTTTTCATTCTGTGTAGGGTGTTGTTCCGGGATGGCTACCTCCCGACCGGCACCAAGTTTGTCGGCTATGCACGGTCCAACATGACTATTCCTCAGCTCCGCGAAAGGTCCAAGCCCTTTCTGAAGGTCAGTGCTGAGATGTGCACTCCAGTCATGTTGACTGGGCAAGCATGACCTGCTATGTACATCAACACTCACCTGGAAAGTAGCAGCATTGCTTTAGCTGAGTTGCATTGTAGTTTGCAGTCCCAATTGTTTTGATACATTCCCAGCAGTGATTACAAATTTACAATACAATTGCTTTTCTGCGCCACTGAACTGCCGCGTTAGGCGTCACACCTGCTACTGGGCCTGTGAGGTATTAGCGACCCACGTATGCTGTGTAGTTTTCATCTACACGTATGCAGTGTGCAACATGTGATTGACCTGTACACTGATCTACAGGTGATAGCAGTGGTGAACTATTCGGGGTAACGCTAGTTGTTGCGGAATCTTGTGGTAGACATGCGATGTCATGTTTGAGGCAGACACACAGTACAGCTGTATGCATGTTGTCACTTATTTTCTCACTGCTGGTTGTGTGAGGTACTTTCTGGGTTGGTGTCAGATGAATGTTTTCAGTTATAATTATTGTATTGCCTTCAGAAATATCTAGCCCTTGGGATCATGAGATGTTTTAATCGGTGTAGATCAATTGGTGTGGACTGGTATCATTGCTTCACCTTCCATTGCCTTTACATGATGCATTGTGCAACAAAGCATCTTTGACAGCTTTTAATCACACCTACTGAATGGCACTACTTCTCTTATCCTCTATACTTTCAACTCTCTTCACAGTTCACACACGTCTCCCTCTCTCTCCCTCTCTCTCGTTTGTTTGATAATATTAATATCACTACTGTTCAGTTGGCCTAGCTATCTCATAGTGATAGTCTAGTGTCAGGCAATGCGTTTGATTCTCACAAAGTCGTGCCCAAACTCTCCTTGGGTTGTGTCTTGGATTCGTTTACCCTAATCCTTGTAAGCCAGAAGACTTCAACATGTCCTGTCGTGAAGACAATTTTAAAACCAACTCTTAGCCACCAGGGCTTATTACAGGGTGGGTCTTATTCTCAGCACAGGGCTGATTCCAGGAAATGCAGTGCTCCCCATATTCTTACTCGAAGTACAATGGAAATCTTGTAATGATGATTTCACTTTTGTTGGTACTGAAATCAGTTTCGTTTTGAGAACTGAACTTTGTTACTGATTACCACAGGTTATCAGATGTGGGAATATCCTGTCGTCTATTCAAGTTGTTACTATCTTTCTAACGTTATGTATCTTTCTGTTGTGCACTATCTGGAACAGGTCAAGGATGGACAGGAGGCGCGCCTCGAGGAGTTCTTCTCAATGTGCTCGTATGTTAGCGGTCCTTACGACAAGGTCGAGGGCTTCCAAAAGCTCGACCAGGCCCTGATCAAGATTGAGGACGAGAGTGCGCCGGGAAAACCTGCTAATCGTGTGTTCTATCTGGCTCTGCCACCGTCCGTTTTCATGCCGGTCACAGAGAATATCAAGGCGGCGTGTATGAGTAAAAGGTACGCACTCTCTTCACTATTCTCAACTATGTGTATCTGTGCATTCGTCTTCGGGTGACAAGTGTGAGTTGCGATACGGTGCTGTCAAAGCTACCTACATCGCCTGCTAAACTCCAGTCCCTAGTACCTGTTGTAGATGTTCTCCGTATCCTTTGCCACCCATGATTAGAAGTTACACCGGCCTGGTTTGGTTTTAGTTCCAGTGGTCCTCCGGGACAGATGATAACCTTTTCAGAGTGACGAGTTTTACTATTTTGTTTGGTTTTGTTTCTTGTTGTGTTGTCAAGTTGTCAATAGTGGCCCGGGGCTTTCTTTCCCTATTTTCTTTCTTGATGTCAAGCGGTGGTTCGTTGTCTAGAATGCAATGCATGTACTCTGTTGTGACACGTTTTTATATCCGACCTTGAATGCTCATAATATGATGTGTTTTGCTATGTGATGGTGTATGTTCCTTCTTGCGCCATCATGTGTGTTGAGCTTGTATCTCTGAAAGCTATAGGACATCGGTGCTCTTTGTTTTGTTTTGCTGTTGGGCTCATGTTTGTTTGTTCCACCTTTCAGGGGCTATAGCCGTGTGATTGTGGAGAAGCCGTTTGGCCGCGACTCGGAGAGCTCAGCTGTCCTGTCCAGGCACCTTACGTCCCTTTTCAAGGAGGAGGAGATGTATCGTATTGACCACTACCTTGGCAAAGAAATGGTGCAGAATCTCATGGTTCTCAGGTACGTTAACAGGGCTCAACACATACACTTCCAGCAACTTTACTGTATATTGCAAGTGGATACCGTACTGGCAATATATGTTGCCGCAGTGAGGCCATGAAGCGTTACATTGGCACATGTTTGCCGCACGCTGGGCGTTACATGCAAAGTCGCACAGGAGCCGTTACACAGGTTTCTATATTGCCGCAGTCCTTTTTTTGCTATTGCCGCATCACTTTTTTGCTATTGCCGCATCATTTTTTCGCTATTGCCGCATCATTTTTTGCAAACTGCAATGAAAAGATCGCCGCACCCCGCCGGACGCGCGTTACGAACTCAACGAAAATTTGTCGCACTAGCCTGGTCGCGCGTTACGCCGCACCCCCCTGCGTTACGCGTTACGCGGCAACATATATTGCCAGTACGGTATTAGAGAGGTTTAGCAATTCGTGAAAGGAAAACATGTCACCAGGCCCAAACAACTGAAAATTCCAATGATTTGAAGAGTTTATCCAAAGTCAGATTTGTTATGTTGTGCATTTGTTGTAAAAACTGCTAAAAATCCTAAAATAAACTGTTATTATCCAATTATAATCGAATGTCCTTTGCCAGTAAAGGCAGTTTCAGAACGGAACTGGTGTCAGTCTAATATGGATGTTTTTGGACATAATTATTTGGATGCGTTGAAATTTGTATTTTGGTCAGCGCTACATTTATGGATTGTTATACCATGGTACGGTACGGAGGGCCTGTTTTCAGCCAATCAGCGCTCGTCTAGCCATGGTTATATTGGCCAGTATAAATCCCGCGCGGGATTTATATCGAATATAAATCCTGGTGCACGGTACGTACGCTAGGGCACTGCCATCGTACATGTTCACTGCCTGAAAGGCAGTGAACTTGTACGGCGGCAGTACTCCAGCGCACGGACCATTCACAACAGACACCACATGCACGTGTACACTCCACACAGAATGGCACACTGACGAGGAACAGTACACAATGGAAAAGAAGAATGACCTGGAATTCATCTACAGAGTATTCTATTATACTGAATCTGAGGATAAAGAACGTCGAATAACCACGAAGTATCCCGAATGGGTCAGCAATGTACACTGTACTTCGAAGAGTTGAAGATCATCAACAGACTGTCTCCTTCGTAACTAAGTCTATAATACAGAGTGTACTTCAACTCGATTGGAAAATGCTAGATTGGACTGAAATGTGATACAGTGATACAAAACAGTGTATGCTAATGCATTTACTTGCAAGTAAGCAAAACTGATTATAAGATGCCGCATGTGAAAATCAGCACTGTACCATAATTATAGTAACACTTACTCCCAAAGAGTCCAAGCTGTAACCTGACTAGTGACGGTAGTTTGATTCAACGACAAACTCCAGCACCCCAGCAATTCAGTTGACTTCCGCACCGCTCACGAGACAAGATCATGAAGATGCTACAGTCGACCTACCCTTATAACGATATTCGCGTCAGACCAAGAAATATTGTTATAAGGGTAATATTGTTATAGGGGTAACTGGTTCATTTCATACACATATGTCATAATGCATGGATTTTGTTCATATTTTACACTCTTCATAGCATAAAAGCTGACGTACATGCACATTATGTACACAGCAAGGTGCCCACTGGTGCCCCCACTGGATTTCGTCATTTCCCAGTAACTTATCAAGTGAAGCTTGCCCTGCCTGGATAGTGGGCTGTACATATTCCCTGCTAGATATTGTTATAAAATGGAAAATGTCGATTGGTCAGCCCATTTTATATCGTTATAGGGGTAATACCGTTATAGCAATATTGTTATAGAGGTAAAGCATTGTATACACAAGTCAATGGAGTGATTTGGTTTGGCAGAAAAATATCGTGATAAGGGTAATATCGTTATAGAGGTTATCGTTATAAGGGTAGGTCGACTGTACAATATGCACTAGAACTGAAAGGAAATCTTATGCCAAACATCCACGGAGGAATCTCCTTCTGATCTTGCTCGACCATTCTTTCAACTGATAACCATCAGAAGATGTTCATGTACTGCATGATGTAGGAGATCTCCAAATAGGTTTGTTGTTCTGGAAATGCGTAGGGGTACCTGGCATAAGTAGGATATGACCCTCGTAGTCGGGTTATACCGTACCCTCATATAAATCCCTCCTGCTATCGCAGTCGGGATTATATTCAGCCGGTATAACCCTCTGACTTGGGTTATATCCTCTACTTCTATTGTGTATTGTACCCAGGATTCGAGTTTTGCAAGGCATGGGCACACCTGTACCCGGGACCAAGTTTTGGGCATGCCGTTCCAAATTTGGCACTACCAGGCAGTTAAAAATTGATAGCATGAAAAAGCTAGAATGGGTTTCCCATAAAAGGAAAACACCCTATAGTCCAGTCAGAAAAGAGTGATCATTTATCTTTTTTTTGCGTCTGTCCCTCAAACCAGTGAATATTTTATCTTTTGATCATATTTAAAAAGCAGGCCAAATGTTGAGCTTTAAAATACTAGTACGGATTCATTATTACGTAAAACAAGGTGATAAAAATGAGAAAGAAGAGTGAAAACAAGGCAGTGCGACAGCAAAAAACAAGCAGCAAGGCGAGCGAAGACCCTACGCAAAGCAGCAACCTACATTTGTACGTGCAGCGTGCATAGCTGTGCAGTGCGAATGACAATGCAGGCAAGTACTTCAGTAGCAATATTAATAATACGCAGTTCACGGAGCAGCACAGCAGATAAACAAAGTACATTACTAACATTAGGGTCGAAGAATCTACAACTACAGCTAGCACAAAGGTGAAGTTCGCATGGCAGCACGAACAGAAGTGCATGTTGAAAAAGAAGAGTAAAATTAGCTCCTGGGGCTATAAAAATTACAGTATTATGGTGAACCATTTCTACCTTCGTTGCGATGTATCTTGTTTAGGCATTTTCCCCGAGTCCTTCCCAAGTCCGAGTCGATCATACAGTTCTGGGGGCGTTCCCTTTGTTGTTTTCTTATCTACAGGTTTGCGAATGCCATGTTCCAGCCAGTTTGGAACCGAAACAACATCAACGCTGTTGTTATCACCTTCAAGGAGCCGTTTGGCACCAAGGGACGTGGCGGTTACTTTGACGAGTTTGGCATCATCCGGTAAGTCGCCTTTCTCTCTGCTCATGCCGTCTTGGCCGTGAATAGTACCCTTGCATCCAAACTCAGCTACTGAAGACATGCAATCTTAGGTACAGTTTGAAGATGTGTGTGTGTGTGTATTCTTCAGCCTTGCAAGCTGTTACATGGTGCAATCCCAGCACAAGTTGCTATGGCTTCTGCCGTAGCATTGCTATCATCGCCTCCGGCGATGGGCGTCAAAAAGTCAAAGGTGTGTGTGTGTGTATGTGTGTATGTGTGTGTGTGTGTGTGTGTGTGTGTGTGTGTATTTTCAGGGATACATGTACAGTGCGTATCGGTTATAGTGTGGTCGTATACAAGAATATACTGCCTACAAGAATGAACACTCGTTTTTTCATAATCATAACACATATTTTATGTGTATTTATATTCTTACAAGCAGTATTATCGCATAGTAGAATATATCGGCCCTAAGAATGGAATTTTATGCAGCAAAATATGCCAGATTAGTGCAAAGTGTATCGCCTGTAGTAATAACACCTGTGCTCTGTGCATACTCAATACAATGATATTCAACACAAAAAGAGAGTTATGTCCAAGGGAGCATTGGAGAATCACTTTTTCTGTCCAGTCGGACTCTTTCTTCCGACTTCTCTCGTATCTGCTGCTCCGCAGTAGTCGCCTAGCACGACCGGTCGACCGCGAGTCTGATCCGTGTGTATCATGTGTATGTGTACATGCCAAACGTGCGCGCAATGCGCGCATGCGCATATGATTATGTCACACGTGCATATGATTTGTCAAACGTGCATTTATATGGTATGTCACACGTGATTTATCGTGTGTAAGAAATATCGGCAATAAGAATCAAATGTCGTTTTTCAAACACCCACGCTATAACCGATACCTACTGTACATCAGATGTCCTATTGTGTCACGGGTATTTTCCTTCTTTGCCTCTACAGTGACGTCATGCAAAACCATCTCCTGCAATTGCTGTGTCTTGTTGCCATGGAGAAACCAGCCAGCATCAGCCCAGAGGATATTCGTGATGAGAAGGTATGCTAGGTGAATGTACAGTTGCGCTTGGTGAAATCCGGCCCGAAGTGCAAAGCCGGCGCCGCGAAGCTAGCTCCCATTACATCACTGGCGATTTGTGTGTATGAACTAAACTGTACGCACCTCGTGTAAAAGTTCGGAGTGCACGTGTTGCATACTAAAAACAGTTCAACATTTCTTTCATTCACTTCACGAAGTACAGCTCAAGATCAAGAAGAGATAGAGAGGAAGGACATGGCCATTCCCAATGTGTGGGCTCTTCTCAAGAAGAGAATAATTCCACATCGCTGCGAGAATGCTGACCAGCTGGTGCAGGCACTGCACCTGGAGTGGGACTCGTTGGCTCCTGACACGGTTTCCCCATTCGTGGAGTCAATGCCACGTCGTGTTGAAGCCCTAATCGAAGCAGACGGTGGCCACACAAAATATTGAAGCCCTGCTGCTCTGTGTATGAAATAAACTGCTTCGAAACGATCTCCATCTTCTTTACTTGTGGTGAACTGAAATGAATGACACTTGTCTTTGTTAGGCGCGGTTTTTATACACTTTGATGTATGCATGCATGCGTATGAGTACAGCACATGTACAGTACACGGCACACGTGCACACTAGCACTTGTACAACTTTGAGGGCGTCAAGGGCCGCATCAGTACTGGGCGCCAGTTATGCACTTCGGGCCGGATTTCACCGAGCGCAACTGTATGTTAACTGTTAGCAGAGGTGGCTTGTCAGAGAGTTGGCTCGTTGGAGATTGCTCGGGCCACAGTCACACCTGACTATGCCACTTTGGGCTTAGTATCTCTGCAGTTCAGCTGGTTAGTCGTTCTCACTCTCATGCGGTCATAGCAATGTGCGCGTGAAAGGTTCGAATGCATGTAAAACCTGGTTCCAGCAATCACTCGGCATGGAACCAGACTATGACGGCCTTTGAGCGGAGGTGGCCTCTGAAACCAAGTTTGCTCTTACGCAGTCCACGCCTTTGTTTCCAAAGAACAGTGCTTGTAGGTGGTTGCTAAAATCAAATGGTCTCGTGACCATGTTTCACCTGTCACTTGTATTTTTATGTGCCACTTTTGAAAACCTTGAAACATTGCAGTCCACAGTTGGCTCTGTAAAGCTGCAGCCAGTGCAGCCCAACGCATCCGAAAAAGCAAGTGATGGCTTGCTTTTGTTGCTGGAATGAGCGGGCACGAGCGGGTTCTGAACCGGCCAGTAGCCGAGGAGAGGAGGACACGGCGCTGATCTTCATGGATTGCATTCCACTCCAGTCAATGCCCCTTTGCAATGTTGTTTTCTGCCGAGCGCTCAACATTTTGACCCCTTTGATCACCACCTCTCCCCCAGGAAGCTGACTCTCTCTCTCTCTCACTCTCTCTCTCTCTCTCTCTCTCTCTCTCTCTCACTCTCTCTCTCTCTCTCTCTCTCTCTCTCTCTCTCTCTCTCTCTCTCTCTCTCTCTCTCTCTCTCTCTCTCTCTAATTGTAGGTCAAGGTTCTGAAATGCATACGTCCTTTGGAAATGAGCGATGTTGTTTTGGGCCAATATGTGGGAAAGCCTGATGGAGAAGGAGAGGAACGTGATGGGTATCTGGATGACCCCACTGTGCCCAAGGGCTCGGTGACTCCTACATTTGCTGCCGCCGTCTTCCACATCAAGAATGAGCGCTGGGATGGTAGGTTTATGTATGAATGGCAGATTGACATACACACACACACCCGTGTGACGAAAACCACATGTAGCTGTCATCGGGTGCTTGTAATACACACTGTCCTGTTCTTTCTATTCATCATGGGACTACTTTCTTTGATGCATGGCGTTGTTGCGCATGTCATAATTTTACCTATGTGCATATGTGTGCATGCATGCACGTGTGTGTGTGTGTGTGTGTGTGTGTGTGTGTGTGTGTGTGTGTGTGTGTGTGTGTGTGTGTGTTGTATGCTGCTTTGTTCTATTTCATTCAGGTGTTCCATTCATCATGAAGTGTGGAAAGGGTGAGATTGGCAGAATTGATCTGATGTATTGTGTGTGTGGGTGGGTATTTCTCTTACTTTGAAGTGGATTGAGAAGTGGTTACTATCGAATGTTATTGCATCTGTTTTGTTTTAGTGCAATGGGCACATCAACATTTCATAGTAAACACTCCACTATTTTGGTTGGGTATTGGAAGTGCATGAAAGCTTACACGGCACTCTATCACTGCACTCTGGCAACACATGTACTGCTCTTCTTCGTTTAATTTTGTTTCTTAATTCACGCAATAGCGACTCGCACCAATAAGAGATGAGAGAATGGTAGGGTCAATGTAGACTAAGTTGTTGTTGTTGTTGTTGTTGTTGTTGTTGTCGTCGTCGTTGTCGTCGTCGTTGTGGTGTGTGTGTGTGTGTGTGTGTGTGTGTGTGTGTGTGTGTGTGTGTGTGTGTGTGTGTGTGCGTGTTCAGCCCTGAATGAGCGTAAAGCCGAGATTCGTGTCCAGTACAGGGATATTCCTGGTGACATTTTCCATGGGCAGTGCCGACGCAATGAGTTCGTTATCCGTGTCCAGCCGAAAGAGGTCTGTTGAGAAGCTGTAACGAGTGTCCTGATTGTTCATATTACTTCTCGTACTAGATGGTACAGTTCAAGTCTGGCTGGCTGGCTGGCTGGCTGGCTGGTTACAAGTACTTTAAAAATACAATGTATTTTTTCTGATACCCGGTGCTTGTTCTTGTCTCCTTGGATTTTTGCCAGCTGTGTGTGAATATGTATACAATACATGTATTATGTTACCTCAGTACAATACTACATGTATCGTTGTGAAGGCACATTCTCTCAAGCTGGATGCGCTTGCATACATGCACACGTGTATGTGTGTTTGAACATACCTTTGATTGACTGTCTGTTCTTGTGCATGCGTGTAAATGATAACTGTCCAGGCTGTGTACATGAAGGTAATGGCTAAGAAGCCAGGACGTGATACTGGTATGGTGGAGACAGAACTTGACCTGTCCTATCACTTGAGATTCAAGGTATGTTATCAGTGCTGTAGTTGCTTTGTTCTACAATGTTTGTCTTTGGAACGATTTCCTGGCATGTATGGCCGGCCGCCTTACACTTTGCTGATACATGTACATGCACTGTGCACCTACATGTCTGGACTCAGCATCGAGTAGTGTCGCAAACATGGTCAAATGACCCTAGTTTGGGAGAATACCGGTACATGTAGCTTAGTTTGCAACATAATCCCAAGGCAAGATGAAGAAGACTCATGAAGACTCATTATATTATTATTATATGCACGTCCGTGTTTACGTCAACAATAAGTCCATGTATTCGCATGTGCCAGAAGACAGACAGAGCGGGCAGAGAAGAAAAGAAAAGAAAATGAGATAGCAGACGATAGGCACATAACTCATGTTCGATGATAAGTGCTCAATGCACGGGATCTATTCGAAAGATAAAAAAAAATAAGAATAAGAATAACAGATAACGGCGACAGGACTCATAGAAATTAATTATGCTGTCAGCATCTTGGCTTCGGCTGCTTCTAGCCTGGCGGTTTCAGCATTGGCAGCGGTTGCCGCCGATGTTGGTCGGCTGTTTCTTGGTCGTTTGGCCGGTGGGGCCGTCCTCGATAATGGATTCAAACTTCTTTAGGTCGGTGAGCAGGGTGGTCTCACCACCCGCCATGGCACATAATTTATGGTCCTGGTGTGGCCTATTCAGTGCGTCCAAGGTGGATGCCCCCGCCTGCAACGCAACAAGTAGATCCTGCTGATGGCTGGCGTGCCTTGGCAAGTTGGATCTACCCGACGCTGCTTATATTATTTTAGTGTTCTGCATTGTTCAGAGTGTTGTAGTGGTTGCAGATGATGATAGAATTGGTAGGGAAAGTAATAATAACTTACAAGTGCTCGACATGCTGAATAAGTACAAAGATGCGATGGGTAGATGGCTGTGATTGATTGAGAAGTACTGCCACAGGTTGGCACATCTAGTGCTTGTGTACATCCTACAGCGGAAGTTTCACCCGGAAAATTGGCCGATCGGCTAGAAATTCCTACGGGAGTGCATGGAAAACAGTTCAAAACATCTCATGAAACTCATTTCATCAATTTGTATAGTAGGTTGTTTATCAAAGTATTTTAGCCAGAAACCGAAGGCGTCGGGGTTTACCAATGTAGGAAATCGAGGTGGCATACGTGCACAACATGAATTGCACCATAACCATATTGTCAGCAGGATATTTTGCCAGGCCAGCACCCATAGTGGAGTTGTACTGTTTGGGGTTATGTAACTGTCTAGTACAAACAAGGCCGGTCCTGGAAGCTCGAGGTAGAGTGCTCAATGTACGAATGTACAGAGCAGTATACACACACAACAGAGGCGAAAGGCTGTGTTAGCTGTAACTTAAAGTTTCACGCATCGAGCGATCATCAGACAGCAGCATTCACTATCGAATTCTCTACGAGCAGGCCTAGATATTTGATGCTAGTGTGGAAGTTAGTGCATATGTGCGAAGTGAAGACGTGGCATTGGGACAATGGTATTGAGTTGTTTTGTGAGAGTTATCCCCCTGTTATCCCCCTGTTATCGCCTCTATTCTCACCTTTATCCGTTAACTCTCACAAAACAACTCCATACCATTGTCCCAATGCCACGTCTTCACTTCGCACATATGCACTAACTTCCACACTAGCATCAAATATCTAGGCCTGCTCGTAGAGAATTCGATAGTGAATGCTGCTGTCTGATGATCGCTCGATGCGTGAAACTTTAAGTTACAGCTAACACAGCCTTTCGCCTCTGTTGTGTGTGTAACTGTCTAGTATGTACTCTCTTTCTACGTGTGATGGTAAATCTGTTACTCTGTTTGTGGCCAGGATGTGAGCCTTCCCGACGCCTACGAACGCCTCATCCAGGACGTCTTCCTTGGCAATCAGATGAACTTTGTGCGCAGGTAAGCAGAATTTAGCTTGGTGTAGTCTAGAATACTGTAGAGACTGGTATGATATGCCTGGTCTTAGACCATCCCACTGTGCCTGCCTGAAGCATGGATGCAGCGGATGGGATTTTCGGTCTTTGACCACTTTGTGGTGGGTCTGATCTACTCACCTCCCACCGCTTTAGGAGCTGCATCTGCACCTTGATCCACAGAGGGTGCTGGCGTCCCTATGGATGCGGAAAACCTGGCCTTCAGCCGAGTCTAAGGCGAACCGTGAATTTTGTTGTATAATATCAGGAGTACATGAAAACCAGAGTGTGCAGCTCGGATGGGTTGCTGTCACGGCGAAATTCCGTGATTACATCATTTTAGTGATGTGCGTACAAGCAGGATTCAAGCAGGTCTCTTTCTGCACAACTGCAGCTCAGTTGTACGCACTACGCCATTTCCCGCCTCAGATCTGCACCAAATATGACGTAATCACGGAAGTCCGCCGTGACAGACACCCATAGCAGAGAAGGCCCCAAGCTGCACACTCTGGTTTTCATGTACTTCGAAGTACTCTTGATAATATTAATATGTACATGACATACTTCTACTTGGAAGTAGCTACGTTTTAAAACCCTTTGGGGTGCACTGTAACGACTAGTGGACTACACTGTGCTGTATGGTAAGTTTTGGTAGCACTGTCCGCTGTATTTATTTCCATGGACTGACTGCTCACTTTCACCTAATCTACCTCTGTACAAAGTATGTGTGCGTGTGCAGATGGTCCAATGCTCATGCAGCATGGGCGAGTAAGTTACGTGGCTGGGTCAGGGTGGATAGAGCTCTGGTCTAAGGTGGGAGGGGTTGCATGCTGAAGTGTGAAACAGTGTCATAACTGAACTACATGTGCGTGTCCTGCCTTCTGTGTTTTCTCTGTTGTGTGTTGTGTGTCAGTGATGAACTAGCTGAGGCATGGCGTGTGTTCACCCCTCTGCTGCACCGTATTGAAAATGACAAGATTGCTCCAGTGCAGTATCAGTATGGCGGGTAAGTTCTGCAAGAGACACTGGTGTTTTGCTTGTAGAGTGTGTACGGACACTGTGCTCAAGCTGCTTGATGTGTGCCCGTAGTGTGCGTCTGACTCTGTGCACGCCTGTATGTGTTTTTGTTTCTTGTGTGTATGTTGGGGGGGGGGGGGGGGGGGCACATATCATTTTCTAGGGCACTAGCATACCTACATGTATTGAACCAGCCATGTCATTATACACTGTGGTTATAACCCCGTAACGTACTCCGCATCGACATTGGCACGGAATATGTTCCTCGCCAATTCATACCTTTGACAGTAAATGCACAGTCGTACAACATCCTTTAGTTTGTGCTGCGAGTGCCCTGTCTCGCCCCCACCAACCTATAACTTACTCAGTGGTGAGAATGTGATTTCTTAGCTGTGGGTGGGTGGCTTGCTGCTGTTATCTTTTGTTTTGTTTTGTCTTGTAACAGTCGTGGTCCCAAGGAGGCAGATGAGCTGATTGCACGTGCTGGCTATAGTTACACTGGAACCTACTCGTGGAAGTCAGCCACTTCCTAAGGACACCGACACACTGAACACTAACCTCTGCACACCTATCATCACCTGCTTTCCACTGTACTCAGACCGGGTCTGTGAGGTGATGTCTGCGCTGAGATGCTGATGCACGGTTTTGAAGTCAGGTATTGTGCACTGTGTGTATGTGTGTGTGCATGCGCTGTGTGCGTTGTGTTTGCGTCACATGACCACCTCACCGCATGGACATGAACCGTTCAGCAGGCATAGTACTTTAGTTGGAGCATTACGCTCTAATAGTGGCACTCCTCACATGTATTGGTCATTATCACTGTAAGCATTTCACCAGTTCTCATGTGCACATTACCCTAGAATTCATGCACGAGCACTTGCCCAACCCGTTTGCGATTGATCCTGCGGTGATTTTCCGCCGGACATGAGCTCCTCTGTGATTTTTGGATCCTGGACACAGCGGATGTCCTGGGCAAGCAACAGAATAATCTGTAGCCACAGCGTTGGTACGTCTTCTCTTACCTCTGCTCAAGAATAGTACACAGTAATGCAACTTTCCCGTCCCGCCGCTAGATTTGACATTTCAATGAATGCTGCAACATGTTTGTTGTGCATGATGCCTGTGGGTGTATCCAACCTGCCAGTAAAACTAGACATCGGATTTCCCTGGTGCCAGTGGTGGATCACTGCATCTTTACCGCTCGTATCCTCTTCCCCATAGTACTTTTTAGAGTTTTATCGCAGTTTTATTTTTTGCCAGCTATCACAGTCCGGCGTATCATAGTCTCCCTCTTTTTACCACTTGCTGCTCTTCTCGTATGACATACCCAGGGCCTTACTTTCCGCCGACCTGTGTTCTCCTAGCTGTAGTTGAAGCCGTTTTGCCAACACTGCTGTTCTGTCGGATGGTATGGTGTGCTGTGTGTGTGTGTGTTTGTGTGTGTATTTTCGAGCATGCATTGTGTGTGGGCATTATGTGAATGTGTGCATGCATGCATCACATACCTGTGCATGTACGTGGCTGTGCTTTAGTACCTACTGAAGTTAGGTCCTACGCAGCTCAGGCCAAGCTGCCGAGTATGACATTAGAACGTGGCATTGTACGAGAGGTCACTATCATTGGATCATCAAGCCAACGTTCGCCTCCCTTCATCATGTGACCGGTGTGTAGAGAGTTGTGTTCAATCAGACATTGTCGTGCTGTAGAGCAGTGCACGGGTACATGGGTATATGTACAATACATTAATATGTAGCCATTATCCTGTTCTGCATGCATGCATGGCTGCATGGCTGCATGGCTGTACAGTGAAACTGTGAAACATCGTTAAAAAGAACATTGAAGACAAACTCTCACTTTAGAGCAACTAGTATTCGTAACTATTACATAGATCGCCGTGTATTCGTGTATTCGCCGCGTAATATATGGATAAGAAGAACTCCGGTTATTGCGAACAGATGCCATCAGTCCGTTGGTGTTCGTCCTGAAAAGGTTTGACTGTACTATTGCTACCTGTCATTAGAAGAATAGCTAGCTAATGCTTACACAGATCTGGACTGAACCATGCCCATGGAGGCAGGCAGTGTTCGTTTGGCGGAGTCCTCCTCATCAAGCCGGTTCATGTGTGTGTGTGTTTTTGGGGTTGTGCATGTTCAATTCGTCGAATCCAGATCAGGATTCAACGGATTCGAATCTGAGCAAAACCCACCTAGTGAACCAGGAGTGCTTGCTTGGATTACTCTGGTTGTTTGTGTTCACTCTAGTGCACTCTAGTCAAAGGATTTGCCAATCATACATTTCAGAGGAATTGCCAATCATACATTTCAGAGGAATTGCCAATCATACATTTCAGAGGAATTGCCAATCATACATTTCAGAGGAATTGCCAATCATACATTTCAGAGGAATTTCCAATCATACATTTCAGAGGATTTGCCAATCATACATTTCAGCGGATTTGCCAATCATACAGTTCAGAGGATTTGCCAGTCATACAGTCATTTCCTCATCATCATGCTGGCAAACCAGTGCTGGTAGTCCTCTAGCATAAGAACCCACACATGGTAACGTGTGGCTACATCAGTTGTGAAATACCCCCCCCCCCTCCCTTGTTGATTGGGCACAGCATTAACACATTTTAATGAGCGGCTGACTTCTTTCCTTTGAGAAGGAAAAGGAATTCTGTGAGTAATGTCATACACAATGTTCCGCTGCGCTCTCTATGTAATAACTGTGACGCAGTGCACAAGTCCGGCCTTTGTCAGCAGAACAGCAGGAGTATTATCCGTGGACGTGTTTTATGTACATGTATCAAGGCAGTCGGTGACCATCGTGATCACTGCGGGCTGAAGAGTCATTGCATATTCATTATTCTGCTGTCTGGCGGATGTACGGGCGGTGATATGATACACAGCATATTCACAGCCTGGGGATTTTGTGGCGTCTCAACAGGAATATTCTGTGTATGCACAGTGGTCTATTGCATACTACCGGCGGCGGCGGCGGCCATTGTAACTTACACTACTAGTATCCTAGTCCGAAACAAGTTATAATAATATTATAATGATATGGTGCTGAGGACCCACAGTAACTTAGCTGCAGGAGAGAAGAAAAAAAGGTACTTGTGTGGAGAAATAATTGGTTCATCATCTTTGGAGGGAGCTTTTGGTTGGTGGTGTGGGTGCCTGTCCTCTCCTATCGTACGTGCAAAATGCAGATGCTTTCATTGCCAGCTTGAGAAAGCGATTGTCCCGATACTTCTTGTTCTGCCCCACAAGAACCCTTGGGACGAACGTGCAGAATTGATCGGCAGCCATCTTTACCTCTGCTCCGATCCCTGTGTCTGGCTTCTGCTGAGGAGCATGTGTCGGTGGTGTCATGGGCACATAGCTACACATGGCTGCTGAATGCATCAACAACACACCGTAAGACGTGATCTTGCCGCCCAGTTCTCGCTTGGTGCGGCCTAGAAGCAGATTGGAGATGTCCTTGCAGAAAGAGGCCACTTCAGTCCGGGTCAGGTGTCGAGTTGGCGGCTCAGTTCTGGAAGGCCGTGGCCGGTGGTCACAAACGGTCTTGGACAGCCTCCAGAGTCGAGTATCCTCGTCTGTGAACTCTGCTTCATGTACTGCTATGCTATTGACTTGAGTGCAGAACGCTGTAACACCGGCAACGAACATATTCAGCGGGCCATTGGTATGTTGATCAGTGGGATTGCCGGTGTGTGTGTCGGCGAGATGTGTACACAGGCGTGATGTATGCATCAGCAACTGTCCCAGTTGTTCGTCATCGCTCCGTTCTGTTTCTGTGCCGGAGAGAAGCCTGAGGGATAAGCCGCACAAGGTTTGCGCTCCGCTACGCAGGGCACCACCTGCTGGCGGGGCCTTGTTCTTATGCGGCTTACCGGCAGGGCTAGCATTGTGACCTTCTTGAGATCCTTGCCTCTTCTGCTGTTGCTGTTTTTGATCCCCTTGTTGTGCTGTATCCTGATGCTGGTTTTGCTCATCAGCTATAGCCACGGCATCATCCAGTTGTGTAAACACATCACTCAATTCGTCGTCATCGTCATTCTCCTCCTCACTATCGCCACCACCTGGATTTGCGTTGCTGTCAGAATTCAACTGAGTGATGTCATTAGTCTTGTCCTGGAACTGTGCTGTTACCATCACATGTGGTGCAGTGTACTTGCTGGATAAGGCCACGCTCACCAGTACAGTCACCAGCATCAGCATACATGGACTGGAGCACACCATTGCTCCTCTTATTGCCATCGGATTCACCCGGCGGCCTTGAACTTGAGCTGAGCCTGTATTGGATAGAACACAGCAGCAATACGGCATTGTCTCACAGAGCACAACAGGAAAGTGACACAACATCTACAAAATACCCAGCTTATAAGAAGCCAGCAAAAGTGGTCTGGTCGGTGTAGCCTGATCCAGTATGCAGCTGCTTAGCAGCCATGTGTGCAGCGTAGTAGTCAAGGCCGGTGTAGCGTAGCAGTCATGTGTGTATAGCACTATGTCACTGTGGCATGTGCACCTTAACAGTGCAGCTAACTGCAGCTAGCCTCTCCCACCCCCACCCCCACCAGGTTTTCTTGGTGTGAGGTTCCGTGCTCCAGGGCTGAGGGCGAGTGTCACCATTTCCATTAATTTCATCTGCCAGTAGCCCATATGCATGCTCGGGTAGGAGTGGTTTGGTCTCAGTGTGGCAACAATTGACAATTCTAATTGAGCTGGACCCCAATGCTTTTTTGTTTGCAGAATGCTGTAAGCACTGCTGTGATTGCCTGTGGTCAGACCAGCAGTTCTGTGTATTGTAAAACAGCAAACCTCTGGGCAAGGCTGTGGCCGACTTTATATAACTAATTACTTGTAGGATATGGCACTGGATGTACATGTATGATGTATCTGTGCATGAAAGACTTTCTAGCCTGTAGAGATACAGTGATTTCTGTCAGTCTGAGTCGCCACTGGCCACTGGGCACTGGGCACTGGGCACTGGCTATAGCGCATTACAGTGTGCTGTATTGGGTTTGCTACTGGGTAGGGTACTGGGTACGGTGTTTGCTTGCTTCATATTCTAGTGATTTGCACATAGTCAACACACCTACTACACAATCATACAGGTTAGGTTGTCAGCTACTACTACTAGTACATCGAAAGGAGATTCAGTCAAATGGCTAGACTTGATTCTTAGCATCAATTCATCTCACCGATAAAGACAAATAATGTACATCTTCACTTAATCAGTGGCTAGGCTAGGCTACTGCGCTGCAGATAATGTAGTTATCAGTGACATAATTCCAGCACACATTCCTGCGCGTATCCAGCTCTCTAGTGCATCAAGGTACATGCATGATTGTGCTGGGAGAGGTGTTATGCTGTGACTTGGAGTGCAGTTTCAAGGAGTACCACCACCGTTTCAAGGAGTACCACTCTTATTCCTACTCAGTACTGCCAAGTAGGCAGCAAGAACGTGTGTGGAGTAATTCTTGCTGTTGAGTGCTCCATGAATGTGACAAAGGTCCTATCTGTGCCATGGAGAGTGCTTGCCTCCTGGGCGTGTGGTCCAGCTCTGAAGAATGCATTGCATTTGCAAAAGTGCTAGCTGGTATCAATAACACTGATCTACCTGATCTCTGTTCTGAAGTATGAACAGTGGACAGGGGATCATGTATGGTATACTGTGGGTGTCATTGAATGCACCCACCGGACAAACACACTCATAGCCCCTGTTCATGGTCAGTTCACGCCAGTACTGCCAGTAGGTCTTTTATTTGAAGTACATGACAAGGAGATTACGGAATACTAGAAAGCCGAAACGTTGACGCCAGTGATAGAAACTTGACGTGACACCAGTTTTAGTTCGCAATATGTGAGCACAGAGCTTGTGCCTGGAGATGTTTGCGATTGGAGTCAATTTTCCCAGTTTCTTTACTACAGTTTTACGTTGCGCCGGCTTACTTTTGCAATTTCACACACATCACGGAAGCCGCGAAGGATTCCGGATCGGAAAGGTTCTGGGTTTACAGTAGTCGATGCAGTCGGATAAAGCACATGTTTCATCACGGGACTGTGTATAGGAGGGCTACGCATGGGGCTGTGTATAGGGGGGCTACGCATGGGGTTGATGCAGTAGGGTACTGGTCGCTGTTGCTACAGTGGTACTGGCAGGATCAGTACTGCAATACTGCAGTATGCATGCATACATTTTACTGCATAGGCCAGTACCTCCACTGACACAACCAGTACTGAGACAGTACTCAGTAGCATTGCAATGTGCATAGCACACCATCCATATACAAGAAGATCGATGGAAGTGCTTTTGCGTTCACCCTTCCTGATTGATTACAATCATATTTACTTTAAACTCGGATGGAGAGGGATATGTTATTTCTATAACTTAGAACCTTCCAAGTTGGAAGGCTGTTGGAGTGTGCATCCAAGATGTGCTAGAGCTGTTCGCCAGTTAGTTGTAGAACGTCAGTACCGTCGGTCAGTGTCGTGCAATGTTATCGCATGAGCTGATTGTTTAGTAACTGGTGGTGTTAGTGGACATTATAGTGTAACTTGTAGTTCCTTGGTCCTTCAGTGACATGCAGTCTTTGCACCATTAGTCAACTAGTCACCTGGACTTTGCGAATATGCACACATGCAGGGTGCTGACTAAAATTTATTCGAGGCGTCAGGTTCCATTGACTTGTGCATGGCTGTACTATGCGGGCATGGCTGCTATGGTGCAGCACTGGCAGTCAGGTCATAGTGTGTTCAGGTACTACATGTATCAGATACAGGTGAACTAGTTGTGCCGGGTCATCCCTGCAAGGCATCCACTGGCAAGCTACACACTACATGCAGTACTTTCCCCTGGCCAGTGATGTCCTGAAGGCATAACAGGCTGTAGTGAATGTAAAGAGCAGGGGAGTAAACGCCTGATGTTCGTTTTAATGCTGCGAATAGCCCTGGGGCAGAGTTAATTTAAAAATCCTGGATGCCCTTCCCCTTGCTAACTAAGCTCAGTTCTGATTGGAAAATTAAAAGTGAACAGGGGTAAGAATTTGGTTTCGTACTATGTACTATGTACACGTGGGGGGCACTACACATGATAAGTACACAGTCATGTTATAGTATTATATTTATACAGTGATTGCACTAACTGAGGAGGAAGTGTGCTGGGACCCAGAGCCTGGCAGAGGGCATGCAGGTTTCGGCTCCTCACTGACCTCAGTCCTGCAGTGCACTATAGTACTATGAAGTATGATGCAGAGGTACTTAGAGTGCCAAGGCTGGACTGAACTAGAGCAGGTCCAAGTCACCTCATACCAGCTGGATCCCCATTTACTCCCCAGCCTAGCCTGGCCTACACTAAGTAACAGCAGCTCTCCTGGATCATCACGTGTTGATCTCCACTCCACCCATGGCCCAGGCAGTAGGGATTCAGTTTGGCGTCATGGAGTGCTCTGGCGGGAAAATGGAATGCTGTCCGCGATCCTGCGTGAGTGAGATGCAGGATGCACGCTGTGGATATTTCGGATCGAACACATGGCCAGAAAAACTACCGTGGTGTGATGTGTGTGACCTGAGTCTGGGTCTCGTTACGGAAGTAGTTATATTCGAGTCCCTCAAAGCATTATCTGTGGACTGGCAAAAGAGGAGGGCACCGTAACCGCCCGGGCAACGTTCTGCGCTGGGAGGCCGACAGCAAAATCATCACATGGATGCGCTTTGGGTGGATAGGTTGAAACCTATTCTACTGAAAACATGCCGAAAGCTAACATGCATGCCACCGGTAGGTGCACCATTCCTCCGCCTTCGTCTCACTCACACTCACAGTCTCAGGGTCAGGGAGTTACATGTACATCATGCATGGTCTGCAACGCATAGGCGGCGGGAGAGGGGTTTCAGCCATTCGTGGCAGGCCGGAAACACAATCCGTGTTGCCAATCCCCGGCGGCGATGGATATTCACCCGCGCTGCCACAAATAGGGATTTGGGGAAACAGGAAGGGCGACGTAATCCTTAGTGCCGCACAGGCGATATTACGAAGTCCAAAGCAGCCTAGCAATCCTCTAAAGCCTTTAGAGAAGCTATAACTTGAGTGTTATGACTTCTTACCTGAAGTGAGCCAAAAGGAATTTCGGATGCTTTGATCACGACGATGTGGGTCCCGCAACACCGGTGGTCCTATTCAGGGTCTTGAGCTGCTACACTTGCCCCGAGAACAACTAGTCCACTAATCACCGTTAGCCTGCAGCCTGGGGACTTTGGCCGGGAGGGGGTCTGTCTCTGAGGTTGAGCAAGACCAGAACAACTCAAATACTCAAGAAGTACAATTTTCCACACTGGGGCAGATTTCGTCCTTCTGCCTTCTTCTATATCCCGAGTGGAAATCACAAGTTAGTTCTGAGATAGTCAGTTGGGTGACGCTACGTAGATCTACGTGCGGTGGACCGGGCGGCTGCTCTTGCAGGTAGTCAACTCCACTTTCCATGCATCCATGCAGATCGGTAGATCTACCACGTAGATCTATGCGCTATCTGTATGCGTGTATTCGAGGGC